TTACGACATTGTACTTTTTCATATTTATTTTCGTTTATAGCACCGTAGTTATGTTGTTTTCTATTATAGTATTATACTTTAAATGGCATTGTGAATTTAGAATCCTACTTTTTTGGTTTTTTGAATTATAAAATTGTACTTTACATCGAATGTGCTTTTGAGCACTAGACTAATTAGGTCGTAACATACATTACACACACATATACATACAACATAGATATATATTCTATATTTCACATACATTTTTGCAAACATATACACACATATGCATACATTTCACATACAATTACACATATACATTCATTTTCATATATTTTTCACACATATTTTTACATACATATATACACATATACATACATTTTTACATACATGTACACACATGTACGCATTTCACGTACAAATACCTACACTAACAAATTCAGATATACGTCCAATAATACATGCACACATACATACATTAGACATTAACATATTCATATACATACACTACACACATTAACATATTGAGAAGTGAAAAAGAAAGAAAAAATATATGGTCACTGGAAAACAGTAGGAGATAGAGATGGTGGTGTTGTGGTGATGATAATCACTAGAGATAGCATGGGTTGTGGCGGGGTTCCCTTAAAAACAACAAAAGCATGTAACTAGGGTGATATGTTGGTCAGAAGATAAGAGAAATAGAACTAGGTAAATAGAACCAACCTTGCCGGAGGTGGCAAGTGGTGATTAAAGGTGCCAGTCAATGGTCGAAGGAATGTTTACTCCCGAATCGCCGAAAAATTAAACAACTGGAAGCAGTCAGTGGTCACTGGTAATGTGGGTGGATTACACTTAAAATCGAATAATTTTTCCTAATTATGCCGCCTTTACCATTATCAGACGAAACATAGGTGAGTGATGTAAATTGTTGGTGAGGAACTAGAAGGACGGAACTTCAGGGCAGGTAGTGGTCCGGTGGTTATCGTCGTTGAGAAGCATCATAGAAAGGTCGTCGGTGGGAAGTCGATTGGGGTTGATTGGTATCGGTAAGTAATGAACGTAATTGACAAAGGAGACCTTTATCTGATTACTTAATAGCGGCTGAAAAATAATCTCAATAGTGACGATGGCTTGGTGTATTAACGATGACAAATTGATGAATTGGGGGGATAATTTTCCTAGGTGATTTTTTGCGGACTTTACTAAAGTCGGCAACGCTACTAATGACGACGTCACTATTGAATATAGACGTCCTAAAACCTAGCCATTGGATCCATTGATGTTATTAACGACCATTATTTATTGTTGCGTTGTGAGAAGTTACATATTATGAGAACTAAATAATTTTATAAGGTTCGGTTTTAACTCTATTGCGCAGCTCTTGTCTGAGTCCAACCGTTGTAGTGTGAGACATCTCATTCGAACAATTATCTAGTTTTGGTGATATGTAATTGTACTCGTGAGCTAGTTAGAGGAAGTTAGCGGGAGTTCCTTCTGCAGCTGATAGCGTAGAGTGGTGTGGAGTTTCCCTAGGAAAACCTAGGATGTGATCTAGTTCTGGGAGCCTTATTTTCATGAGGTTTAATGGTATTGATATAAAGTGACTTGGTGGATTCAAGGCAATCTTTGAGAAAAGTACGGATAGATGTGGAAGGTAGTATGGGCCCGTACAACTTGACGCAGAGGATCCGTACTCAAGTCAATGAGAGTCACGATAAAACTAGGGGGCTTGTAGAGTTATGATCCCTCGATATATTTTTATGTGTATTCTAATGGTTTATGTGGACAATTTTCAGTATGGTGACATTGTGGGGAAGACCTATTTGCAGTTCTGGTGCTGGAGAGGGCCCGGGCTCAGGTTCTGGAGTCGGGGCAGCTAGATGATCAGACTAGGGAGTTCATCTCGTCTCAGGTTACACATTTCATTCTTGAGAAGACTCTTGTGATCTTTGGTACAGTCAAGGAGGACATTCTGGAGATTCCGGATGATCAGTTAAGCGCCTTTCGTACTGAGATGGTGGCCTTGGTTAGGGCATGTTCTTTGACCTTCAGGGAGTTTCGGGCATGTGGAGTTCCGGACTATCACGGGGCAAAGGACCCGATAGCGAGTAGGAGGTGGTTAGCGGATGTTGCTAACGCCTTCCATACTAGCAGTTGCCCCGAGGGAAAAGGACCCCCATTCAAGCAGTTCGTCATCCCTCTTGATGTCGAATGAAGAGATCTTTGCCCGAGATCCAACTACTTTCGTATCAAATGCTATTTGATTTCACTAATCACATATTTTTTTAATTTGATTCTCCTAATTATTTTACACACATTTTCACTGGAATCCTTGAGGTTTTGGGTACTACCAACTTGAAAACAAGATTTCCTAAAGTCTGGCATATGGTTTCGCTTTACAATCCCAAAAGAGAATGAGCCTTACCTCAAAGAAAAGGAGTGTTGTTCTCTTGATGTCGAAACCATAAGATGTACTTGTCCCATAGTTCGAAACATGTCACGGTTCTTATCCAGTTGGGAACAACGAAAGATCCGGTGGACGTAACGATTCAATATCTCATGGGATTTGAGGAAATTGTGATGATCACTTTTTCTGACGTGGCAATTTTTATGTCGATCGGTTCCATAACCAATGCAACACGTGGCAGTTCGTATTGGCTACCGGTTCAAATTCAAATTCTTCGTTGAGTATTAAAGGAAATTGGTGGTGTTATTTGCAGACTTTATGCTCTCTTATCAAATTATCCCTAAAATTCTCCAAAGTTTATCGTCTTGCAACAACCTTTGCAAACCTAACAATTGCGGCCCCTAACGCAACTATTGATCCCTCAAACAACACCAATGAAGAAGAAATTTCACAACCCTTGTTGAAGATTCAGAGTTCAAATGTTCGTCTACTGACTACTGTTGATCAATAGTTTGAACAGTTACAGATGCTGATTTTAGCCCTAAATCACTCTGTTCTTTCAGTGTTATCATCATCGTTTTCTATTCCGATGAACTCGTTATATCTTGCTGGCTCAACGACGGTATTCAATAGAACAACTAAGGTTGTTACCTTCCAACTGACGAAAAAGAAGTTGCGAAAGCTAACCAACAAACAGTTTGCCCAAATTATGAAGCTACCATGCTCAGGTACTTTTTATGAAGTTACGAATGAACAAGTTGATCATATGTTCAATGAGACGGGTCATCAACCTGTTCTTACTGGGATTAGTCTTTTTCGCAAGTCAAGTCTTCCCTATGTTTGGAATTTTCTCTTTGGCATTATACTACGATGCTTGACTGGTCGTAGTTCAGGGTTAGATAAGGCGAAATTGGAAGTTTATGTGATGATTGCTGGTCTCTATTATGATTTGAATGTTGATTAGGTTACTCAATTTTGGGAGGAGTTTGGCACGGCTATTACTCACACCAATGTGTCGAATGGTGTTTCTTGTGCACGAGTCTAATCCTCAAGGAGGTTTATGAACAGGAAGGGATTTTGGTTCCCTCAGAAGATGAAAAAGTTGAGTTTTCGACTTTGCATGCTCCAAAATTGGTTGTTGATGATCCAGTCCTTTTTCCAAGTGTTGCTCGCATTCCAGATGGGATGTTGAGGGGAATTGATCCTGCAAACCCAATTCCTATTCAATATTTGGCATCCATTAATACAAATGTTTCGGTTGGAGTTCTTTTGCCAAAAGGGGTTGACGGTTAGTCAAAGGTTGTTAAAGCACCAAAGAAAAAGAAGCAGACTGTGAAACCAAAACCTATTCAAGAACAGGTGGAGGAGGAAGTCTCTAAGGAAGTTATTCCTTCGAAGACTGGCATTTTCAAACGCTCTAAGAAGCCAGCCAAGAGACCTCATCATTCTCCTGTCAGGCCATCCGTTCCTAAGCTTGATACCACTGCACAACCCCAGCATGAGTCTTCGCATACTCATTCTTCACAAAAAGGTATAAAGAAGATTCATAAACCCAGTTTAACGGACGAGGTGTGCTATTTCACGACATTTTTGTTCCTGTTTCACCTGCTTTAAACAAACGTCAAGCCCGATAAATGGTTCAAAAAGATTAAGAAGAAGAAGAAGAGACAACTTGAAGACCTACTTGAGAAAGTCACTGTAGAAACAGATCATGGAAGTGACAGCGAAAGGTCTGATACTCGCATTGATGAGTCTTGTCTTGGGTCACCTCGAAGGGATTCTCTTGTCAAGTCGATTTCAAGGAAATTGAAATCCTGGTTCAACTGTAAACGTATCTAATACAGATACAAACACCAATTCGATTGATCCCACATCTACATCCATCTAAGAAGACCACGGTCACACCACCCGAGGTTTCGCAAACTAGGTCCTATACGGAGGAGGTTCGAACCTCATACATCAATGTTAATGTTTCTGATACAGACATATATTTCAACATGGGTGAAGGGATGTTGAAAAACGAAGCTTTTGGTATTTCAACTCTTGAAACATTTACTATTCCTACATCACTCATACTTTCATCCACCATCGAAACCTCAATCCTTGACACATCAACTTTGTTACCACCATTATCTTCACCTATCCCATCTTCACTTCCTATTTCCACCATATCACCAACTTATTCCACCATAATGCATGAACCCATCATTACCTTCTCTTCGCTATCCATAGAAGCTGAGAGAATAGTTCAAGATGATGAACGAAATGATGATAACATCATGGTTTCTTTTGCTTATTTTCAATTTGATCTAGAGGAAAATAATGTTCTTGATAACATGATAATGTCAGGTAAACAATTCAAGATCCTCAACAACAAACTCAGATCTATTTTACAGATCCAAGCAGATAGTGGGGGTTGAAATTTTGTTTCTGGGTCGAAATGGAGTACATGATAACATCTCGGGAGAATTGTCTTAGAAGTTTGGTGGAATATATTGAGAATCAATAAGTTGAAAGGCTGGAAGTTCATGCCAATAGTTTTGAGTACGAGATTTACAAGCTTCATGATGTTGCTAAGGAGCGTCATGAACTTTTCGTTGAGCAAGTGAAAACTATGAAAGAGTCTATGGATCTCAACATGGCTGAACTTATATCGGAGATTGCCAAAGAGGTTGAGAAGATAGAGAAAAATTATTTTTTCTTACATGGAAAAGTTGATGTTGTTGCTGATGTTATTGCAAGGCTGGTTGAACACAATACCGCTTATTCGACTAAGCTTGATGCGAAGTCGGAAAAGGATTCCCATGTTTTTGCGAAGTTGGAATTCTTAAGTAGTATCAAGGAATCCATTTCAAAAGCTTCTCTTTTGAATCAATCTTCTATTTCCCACAAATAAATTTCTCAGTTGATTTCATCTATCGAGGCTAATCTCAAAGCGGAATCCTTAAGTTGGTTCTTCTTTTACCAACTAATTTTCCACCTATGAGGCAAGTGTCAAAAGGGGGAAATAAAGGATGTGGAGGCATTGGATCTTCGAGAGATACAGATAAAGGAGCAGTTGTTGGGAAGGTGATGTCCACTCAGATACCTACTTCACTCTCAATTTCATTAACAACAATCTCAACAACAACCACAACAAGACCTATTAAGAAAGGGATTGTTATAAGCAAAAGTGTTGGAGGTTCTGGTTCAAGCTCTATTCCACCTCCTTCGAAAGACAATCAGGGTGACAAAGGAAAAGGTTTTGTGGTTACTCCTTCATAAGAAGAAAAAGCAACAAGCAACAAGCCTTGGAGATCGAAAGGCAGAGGCAAATCAACAGCATATCGAGGAGAAGGCAGAATGATCCACCAAGCTTGAATAAGGGTGATCCTAACAAGCATTGGTGTTACGAAACTATTGAGGAAATCGTTTCAATTGGGAAGTTTAAGTATTTTCGCAAAGTACCAAAGAAGAGTTATGAGGTTGAGAATTCTGATTTTAATCAACTTGATGTTCTGATAAATCATATGATATACATATCTTCTCAATACAAGTTAGTCGATCACTTCAATGACAAAGAAAGAATACAAAAGACTGAAGATGCGATTTTATGCAGTCTTGGGGAAAAGTGAGGACGAGGTGTGGTCATCAGTGCAGATCATAAAAATGATGTCTATTTCACGAGCGAACTTGTTTGAAGGCATACTACAAAATTTTCTCTATGTGGTTCTTATAGCGAATAATGTGGTCTGTGATTCCTCGATTGCTAATTTCCCGTTGATGAACTTAACTGACTTGGTCACTGTCACAAGGATTTTAAGCAATGTGAATGTTACGAAGCTGCCAGAGAAGAATACGGATGATTTTCTCATTATATTTTCTGATATCAAGGGTGTTCATTGATAACTATTATGATTGCCTCGCAATCACTAATAGTGAGCTGGCTATAGCTGTCAACAAAATTTCAAAAGTTCCCGAATCCTTGCTGAAAAGGAAGATTAACATTAATAAGTATGAAAATGGGGAAAACATTCATCAACCTTTGGGAGTGGTGTTTCGTGGCAAAAACAAGCACGAAAGGATGACAAAGTTTTTGTTTCAAGTATGTGATGTAGAGAGGTATATGAATTCATAATATACAAGCCTTCTTGTATTGGATTAGGTGTCTAAGCCCATAACTATAATTGGTATGTACTTGACCCGAGAGTAGCATGGTCCATTTGGGTTGCATATCATCAAGACAATTTGTTAGGATGGACTTTTTGAGAATAGGTTATTTATGGTTTATTAATATATTATAAGTTCTAATATATTAATATGAAATCATATGATTTAATTAGTATTGATCAAGAATTAGTTTGGAATTAATTTAGTGATCAAAAGAGACTAATTAAATCAATGGGGACTAATTGTGTAAATTAGTTATATTTATATGTTGGGCTTATGATCCATGTTGGACTAAGTTTATGTATGGATACATAAAAAGTTGGGCCGCATAAACCATGGAGCATAAACCCATGGGTATGGGATTAGGGTTAACCCATGACCTTTGGAATCCCACATATAAATATGTTACTCCATAGCCAAATCACAACTCATGTATTATTGGAGAATATGGACGATTTTGGTGGCTAGGATTCTGTCTCAAAATGTCATCCTTTGTTCATGGTGTGTTGTGATTCCATTTGAGGCATTCACACTATTGGTGCTAAGTTCTTGAAGGCCAAATACATCAAGGATAGCAAGCTACAACAAAAGGTATATTATCTAACTTGTTTTATTACCCAAGTATCAAAGTTTTGTAGGCTAGTTAGGGTAATACCTTGGTAAAAGAAAGTTTGCATGTATAATAGAGATAACATAGATCCAAGGTATTTAGGGTTGCATGTACACCTTAGGAGTGTTAGAATGCTCAAAACCCATCAGTGGTATCAGAGCCTAGGGTTGTTTTCAATTATACTTGATGCTACTTGTTGTTTAAGCTTGAAAAATCGATTTTCTTCTGTTCTGGTTAGTGGACTCGCCGAGTCCACTGGGGGACTCGCCGAGTCCCAGCACAATTCTGACCAACTCGCCGATTTTGTTCTTGCACTCAACGAGTTGGTGCTCCAGAATGCAGATTTTCGATATTTTTGGCTAGAATTGGACTAGGATCATTACCCTAAGCTATTTTTGAACTTATAAACCTTTTTTTTGATGTGGTAATGATCATGCTTATCCAATTTTTATAAGATAATTGTCAAAGTTTTATGTTTTGTATTAGTTTATATGATTATGCTAATTACATGAAATTTGTTTGATATGAATTATCTTGTTCATATGAGTTTAATCTAGATCATGGACATTATTTGACATGCTTGTTAGTTTATTTGATGATCTTTATGGCCTTTAATGTAGTCCATAACTTGTCCTCAAGTTATGGAATGTGAAAAGTTTTCTTTTAAAGAGTTCATTAAACTCATGGGTTATGGTCTTCAAGACTCTTTTTCCATAAATATTTTTATGAACTCCATAACTTGTCCTTAAGTTATTGATTTTCAAGATTCTTTTCATTAAAGTATATATTAAACTCATATATTATGGATTCTAAAAGTTTTTGAATAGTTCAAAACTTGCCCTCAAGTTTTGGAATTTGTAAAGTTTCACTTTTTGAATACTTTAGTTCCAAACCCTAGAGTTTTAAAAGTTTAAAATACAACCCTTATACTATTATAATATTATAGGTTTAATATTTATATATATGTATAAGAGTAAAGTCAGTCTTACCGTTAGTAGGCCTCATTCATGAAGCCGGTCTATAAGAGGGGTATAATGTTACTGCCTATAAAATGGCAGTTTAATGGGTGTCCACTCTCACCCACCGCTTCCTTGACTGGTGGAGGGTCGTTAGTCGAACGGGTTTTGATAGGACATTAATTTTCATTAAAAGTATAATGATAATTATAAAGTAACTAAACTTTTTATTAAATTCCCAATCTTAGTTACTTTAGGAATATGTGAATATGGTGATAATCCATGAAATTACACTTTGCACATTGTTAAGTCGTTAGTGGGGCGTGTGTGGTTAACCGGCACACTAATCTAGGACTGACAATGCGTGGAAAAGGGTATCCTGATGTTAATCATAAATCAATGGAGCGTGTGTGGTTAACTGGCACATTGATTAGGTGGTTGTAACATTGAGTGTACCAAGCTAATTTGCATGATTATTCACACCTTGTTTGTGATCCTCGACATCCCAATCACAAACATGAAGGGCACAATTGAGATCTAATCATGCAATTGAATTGTTCAATGAATCTCAAAGGATCCAGGAGTTTCAATCTATTTAAAACCTAATGATAAATTTCGTTTTTCATGGTGGAAATTCGTAAATCGTCATTTACCTACCTTCAAATATTTTGCAATAGGATTACGGCATCCCTCTTCCGAGTTGTAAAATATTGTGTTGGGTCATAGCCTTAATATTTCATTTGGGTGTTATATCAAGGACTAAAATCAACCAAAATTTGAATTTCTTCCGTCATAAATGACTAATTTCATACAATTATGGTCTTCCCGAATCTTTTGAATAAACTTTATTTATAAAGATAATTTTCCACAAGGCGATCAAGGTGAAAGATTAATCCCTTCTTCGTGTTATAGTGGAACTTCACCTCCTCTAATAATTCTCCCTAACCCACAACTTCTAGGTCACTCAAAGCCCTATTGGCAGGAAGGAAAGTTTGTATGTGCTCACGTCTTGGATATGAAGTTACATATTGACAAGCTGGGAGAGTTGGGTGTCGAAGTCTCAAGGAAGTTGGCTGTTGACTGGGTTCTTCAATCACTTTCTAAGTCATATAGCGGGTTCTTTAAGGACTACTATGTGACAGACCACGACATGACCCTTATCGATCTTACATATTTGCTTGTTGCTGCTAATCAGCAATGATTTGGTACACTGGTAAAGCAAGTTTGATTGGAAGGTCTACTCCCCAAACTGCCATGGACATTGACAATGGTAACATTAGAAGTCCAGAAAAGCTTTCTCTTCCCAATGGAAAGGGATCGACCATGGTCAAGTCATTTGACCAAATGGTAAAGAGAATGGCTAAGTCTGAGATAGTCCCGTATAACATTCCAAAGAGTTTATATGTTTCTATTGCCGAGAGAAGGGGCATTAGTTGCGAAGCTACCGTATCTACCTGAAGGACCACAAGGATGGTAAAGTCAGAGTGTATGACTATGCTTCAGGTAAGTCCACTATCTAACTCTATTAAGTTCCTATTTGGAGATTCTTAATACATGATGTAATGTAATTACATTTTCATGTTTTGAAGAATCGAAGAAATGAAAGGAAGCTTAAAGGAAGAGTATGCTGAGTCTGATCGCGAAGAGATGGATTTCGATCGCATGGCTCGATGATCAGATTTGTGAGCTGCTTCTTAAGAGTTATGATAGATTGCTTAGGAATAGATAACATATTTTCACTTGTATTTGCATTGTAAGGATAAGTTTTTTGCAATTTTTTTTATAAATAAAGAAAATTTTGAAATTTATCTTATTTTTAAAATTTCCTTACAATGGCTTTTGTGAAAATTTGTTGTTTATATGATTCCATTAATATCAATATTAGGAAAATAGATTTGATTCTTTCGTTCGTGGTAGTGTCGAGAATTTTCCAAATAAGGAAAGATTCTCATCACCCAAGTTTCAGTTAGATAGAAACTTGGAATCATGCAACTTGTATTGTGTGATAAATGAGAACCTTCATCTTTGGGAAATTAAGACTGATTCCCATGTCACATGTATATGTGAGTCAAATGAAGGACTAAGGGATCGAGTACACATTCTTGTGCACTGGTCGAAGTCCACCACAAAGATCGATAAGACTGTTCGTTATGATTTACTAAAGTTTAGTAAATATGGTTA